TTGACCTGCATTTCACCTGATAGCAGTGCTGTGTGCCAGGGGCTGCCCAAGGGTGTCGCGCCCTGCTCTTTATCCCAGGGCTATGCCAGCTGTGTTGGGAGAGGCACGCACATGGCCTGCACCCTCTGCTCTCTCCACCCAGCCCCAAAAGCCTGTCCAGGGGTTGGGAAGGAGAGAAAAGAAAGGGCCCCGGAGGGCTCATGCTGCCCAGAGTTTTCACCTCCTGTCTGTCCATCCATCTGTCCAGGGCCAACAGTCATGCGGCCATCGACTGGGGGAAGATGGCCGAGCAGTGGCTCCAGGAGAAGGAGGCAGAGCGGAGGAAACAGAAGCAGCGGTTGACTCCACGCCCATCTCCCAGCCCCATGATCGAGAGCACACCCATGTCCATCGCCGGCGACGCGACGCCACTGCTGGACGAGATGGATCGATAGGCCTGGCTGGACCTGCCCCTCACCCTCTGCTCTCAGGGAAGGGGGAGGGGAGGGAGAACAGTTGGAAGCAAGTCCCCTTCCTTAGCCACGTAACTCCTGTTTTATACTGCATAACATGGTGTGAAATGACACTGGGCGGCACCCCCTGTGCCAGCGCCAGGCTTGGCAGGGCCGGCGTCAGTATATACCCACGTATATCTCATAGGAAAGGAAGGGGCCTCACAGCAGCCTCTGCTCCAGGCCATGCTCCGCCGCTTCGGCAGCTCAGCTGAAAAACTGGAGTCTGCCCCGGCTGAGCCCGGCAACCTGCTTCCATAGCCTGGGCGGCGAGCACGCCCTGCGCAGAGCGACGCGTTACCAGCCCCTCCTGTGGCACGGCCCTTGCCGCCCTCGCCCTGACTGCGCTAAGCACCCACCACCTCCTGGCGCCTCTGCTCCGTGGTTCCCTGCGGACACTATGCCAACCCCCGGCGGCTGCTGTTGTGTGGGGGTTTTAGCAAAGCAGCTCTGGGGTCAGGGCTCCGGCCAGGGAGAAGTGCAGCTGCCCTGGGGGCTCGGCCTCTCCCTGGGACGATATTTATTCTGTTTTTGTTTTGTTTGTTTTGGAGTCACTTGGGGAAAGAAGGGTGGTAGTAACCGTGTCCCGGGAGGAAGGCAGGTTCATACCCAAAGCACCGCTACCGCTGCCACTGTCGTGGCCAGGAGGATGTCTCACAGCCTGAAAGCCTCTCCCACCTCTCCCTTGCTCTGCCCATTTGTTCCTAAATGGGGCAGACAAGTAGTATTTCTGCCAAGCACCAGGCCTCTCTCTGCAGGGGCAGTGGCGGAGGTGGGAGCAGAGCCCCTCTTCCTTTGCTGCACGGAAGCGCTCCCAGGCCTGCGGATGTCCAAGGAGGAGGAAGAATCCCTGTCTCTGTGGGGAAGCCCAGCCTGGGTCTCCCACGGCCTGCCCCGGCAGGGGTCAGGCTCAGCCCTGTGCAGTGTTACGGAGCCGCTGCTGGAGATGAGAACTGTTTGTAACCCGGAGGCTACTCAACACACTCCCCCGTGGTCCTCCCCCAGCTCCCTTCCAGGACTTTTGTTCCCCACGATCTGCCTGACCCTCTGCATGGAGTCACGAGGTTTTGCAGCTGGGAAAGAAGCAGGAGCGGCGCCGAGATTGGGAGACAAAGGCCCTGTTTGCATGCAAATGCCCCTGGATAATGGAGGAAGGCGACCTGAGAACCAAGCGGCGTCTGTGGAGGAGGGAGCGCGGCTGGTTTCCAGGCACCCGCTCGGCCGTAGCCTGTGGAGTGGCATGGCTGCGCCCCTCCGCCCCGGGCTGGCGTGGGCCGAGGCAGGCTCATGAGCAGGATAACTTTCGCTGTTCATTTTTTTTTTTATTATTATTCTGTTGAGTTTGGGACGGGGGCTGGGAGCTGCCCCCCACAGGTGCTGGAGACCAGGCGGGGACCCCAGTCACGCTTTGTTTGCCAGATCCTGGTGGCTGCCTTTGGTTTTAGGTTTTCCCCTTGACTATCAATAAAGTTCTACTTTTGGGACATGGACTGTTTGGGGCCTCCTGCCTGCCTCCCTTCCTTGGCTTGGCTGTCGCTGCGCAGGGGATGGGGGGCGAGATGCCGCGGCCAAATGCACGGCACGGGTTGCGGCCCCCTCCCACGCTTGCTGGCTGTCACAAAGGGCCTTGAGGGGAAGAAGTCAGGCCTGGCTTCTCGCTCCTGTAAGCCAGGCCCTGCCCTGGGCACGAGGTGCGGCCAAGGCCCAGAGGCTGCTTCTAGCCCCGGCGTCCTTTGGAAGAGGGTGGAGTGGTGGGTATGGCGGGGGCAGCTCCCTGTCCCCTCGTAGGTGTAAAGGTGGCTGCAGGGGGGCGGGCCGGGGCCTGGGCCCTGTCTCGTCGCTGCTGGCCTCGTGGATCCCCTGCCGGCCCCCGGCCTGCGCCACACAAGACGCTTCCCTCCTCGCGGGCAGTGCCCCGGCGCCTCGGCTGCCCCATTGTCTCCCAGTCGCCAGGCGAGCGCCGGGGGGCAGGCGGGCTCAGGCTGCCCCGGCCCGGGCCCGGTGCCCTGGCCCTG